CACTACATCCGGGGCGGGGCGCCCAGCCTAGGCAAAAAAAAAAAAGAATTATTCTTGTTCTCTCCCCCCACAAGTAGGTTCTATTTGTATTTATTTTCGTCGTACGCCTCCGTATGACAAAAAAAAGAAAATCTCGCAAAAAAATGTATAATTTCTGTGACAACCAGTGACTCGTCACGCCGAATCCCTCCGCCAGAAAAAGAGTCCCCCAGTTTGGGAGGCGACCGAGAGGGATAGAAGTGACCGGAGGGAGAGAACTCGGTACCGAGGGTCACGGAGTATGCGAAGGGGCTCGAGCTGAGGCCGGGGTCGGGAGCCGAGCGGCCGGCGAGGCAGAAGGTTGTGGACAGGGTGCGGAAGGACATCGCTCATAGCACTGGGAGAGTGACGAGTCCTTCCTTTTCCGGTGGAGGCTGCGGCGGACACGGGCAGGAGCACGAGTGGCTCCGCCGCCGCCACCATGGTGAGGGCGGGGGCCGTGGGGTCGCGGCGGGCCTGGAGGGGATGGGGTCGCCGGTGGTCGGGGCGGGTGGTGGATCGAAGCCGGCGGGAGCCGGGGCTGGCGGGGAGAGCCGCATCGCGGGCAGCCCGAGGGGTGGCGGCGTGGGGAGGGCGGCCCAGCCGCCGCCATTTTGGAGCCATCAGGGCTCGGCCTCGCCGCGTGGGCCCGGGTGGGGAGGCCGCGGCCGGGAGGAGGGAAGGGGGGAGAGAGAAAGGGTGGGCGAGGGGCCGGGACGGGCCGCAGATCGGGCCGAGAGCTCGGCCCGGTCCGGTCCCCTGGAAGCCACCCTTCCCTCAGCCGTGTGGGGGACGGGGCCCGCATCGCCTGCTGGCAGGCCTTTTTCATTTCTCTCACCTAGTTCTCTGGCGCAAAGCAAACCACACGCAAGCTTTTGAGCTTAAATAGAGTTAACAGATCGGGCCGAGAGCTCGGCCCGGTCCGGTCCCCTGGAAGCCACCCTTCCCTCAGCCGTGTGGGGGACGGGGCCCGCATCGCCTGCTGGCAGGCCTTTTTCATTTCTCTCACCTAGTTCTCTGGCGCAAAGCAAACCACACGCAAGCTTTTGAGCTTAAATAGAGTTAACAGTTTCCATATCACCCATTTTTTAACTTCTTAAAAATTACTGCTATTTTTATTCTGAAACAGGCTTTAAAAGCGCTTGGTCTGGAAGCAGGTTGCAAATGAACAACGTTTTTTGCTAATACAATCCAGATTGCGTTCTGGTGCCTTCAGCCTGATAAAGTTTGTTGCTTTTTTGCGTTGGGGCCTCTGCACTAACTCCAGGCGTCAGTGCCTTGTGAGTGACAAGTGTTAGAAACACAGATAGTCCTTACATTGCTATCGGCTCATTAGTTCTGAGCTTTGTAATATTTTTAATGCCACTATAATGAGTTGTGGGTAAGAAAGAAGTTACTTTGCGAAGATTAATTTTAAAGGACGCTGTTCAGACTCGCTTGGTCTGGAAGCAGGTTGCAAATGAACAACGTTTTTTGCTAATACAATCCAGATTGCGTTCTGGTGCCTTCAGCCTGATAAAGTTTGTTGCTTTTTTGCGTTGGGGCCTCTGCACTAACTCCAGGCGTCAGTGCCTTGTGAGTGACAAGTGTTAGAAACACAGATAGTCCTTACATTGCTATCGGCTCATTAGTTCTGAGCTTTGTAATATTTTTAATGCCACTATAATGAGTTGTGGGTAAGAAAGAAGTTACTTTGCGAAGATTAATTTTAAAGGACGCTGTTCAGACTGGTAAGCTATTATTTGACATTTTTTTTCAGTTTTTTGAAGGGGAGCTGGAGCTGTGAGCAGTTGATTTTTTTTCACCTCACAATTCAGAGGCACCAGGAATTGTTCAGAGGGCCCAGGCTCCCCAGAAAGTTCACTCTGATAGTTTGATTGTCTGTGGTCATAGTGAGTCTGTATTATATTTCAGAAGCTGATTACAGCACTTCAGCTGTTAATAATAATCTAAATAACAAAACTTTGAGAAACTGAATCAGCAGAGGCGGGTTTCATGTAAGCTTTTTTAAATAGCAGATGGGAAGCCATTTAGAAGGTGTTGCCGAAGAGCCTAGAGATGCAAGTCTATAGGTTAACTTTACCCAAATGATGTGGAAATCTGTTGAATTTCCAACTTGAGGTATCGTGTTCTGAAGGTGGGTTGTGTTGAGGAACGCTTATATTAAGTGAAAATTATTGCTATGATGACGTAATTTGCGTCTTATCCAGTGTTCAGCGACAGTTGCCTGCTGTCAGTGTGCTGGCACTGCTGAACTGAAGACCCCTTCGTTCTGAGCAATATTTGATGGATTTGAACGATACCCACTTATTTTACTTGTGCCTAAGAGTCTTTCCTTTCTCTTTTTCAGGCTTGCGCTCGGCTACCCATTTATTTTTACTTGTGCTTAATAAGAGTTTTTCCTTTCTCTTTTTCAGGCTTGCGCTCGGCCGTTAATATCCGTCTACTCTGAGAAGGGGGAAGCATCAGGCAAAAATGTCACCCTGCCTGCTGTGTTCAAGGCCCCCATTCGCCCCGACGTTGTGAACTTCGTTCACACCAACCTGCGCAAGAACAACCGGCAGCCCTACGCTGTCAGTGAGCTTGCAGGTATGGCTGGGCCACAAAACACACAGAAATAGTGGTATTAGATGTGGATTTTCATGTAGGTGAGCTAAAAATGAAACAAATTTAGAAGTAAGAGAAGTGCTGGTGAGTGGGATTCTGTATAGAAAGTAAGGGGGCTCTAAAGTCAGATTATCAAGATTGATAATCTGATCTAAAGTCATTATCAATCTGACTTTAAATTGTATGAAATACAACTTTTTATTATTCTGAAGAACAGCAAGGTGGTGTAAAAATCTTGGAGTTGGGGTCGTACCTGAAATGGTGTTTCCTGGGCCCTCAAGTGGAATCTGCATTCCACAAAATGTCTGAAAGTGTCTCAGGCAGAAAACTGTGGTGAAAACCCCACGTTTTATAATCCCCACTCCACGGTGACCACAGGAGACTCAAGTGAGGCATTTGCCAAGAAGAAACCTGTGCAAATTGGGGGTGTTTGTTGGAGGGGCTTCAGAATCCTGTAGGTGCAGACAGCTGCTGCTTCCTGAGAAATCTGTGCCAGGAATGTGCATTTTCAGCTTTATTTTTGATGGTGTTTCAAATAAACACTTTAAGCCAGTAGGAATAGCAGGGCTGGGCTGGGTCTCCAAATGGAGGATCAGGCTTAGGAATGAGTGTGTTCATGTACTCCATTCTGACCTGGGCAGGTTGTTAATGTGGTAAGAATTAATTTACCTGATAGGGATCTGTTTGACTGAAATGATGAGATTCCACTTCACTGGTCCGTGTTTCTGAACCGCATGATAAGGGTGGAAGTTCTGATTGGTGGTCTTGAATTCTGCCTGTTTGTGACTTCTGGGAAAATTGTGGTGTTGGCACTATCCCAATTAAAATCTTTCTGTTCCAGGTCATCAGACCAGTGCTGAATCCTGGGGGACTGGGAGAGCTGTTGCTCGTATTCCTCGAGTACGAGGCGGTGGAACTCACCGCTCCGGCCAGGGTGCCTTTGGAAATGTATCCTTTTGTTGCTGCTGCTTGCATCGGGTGTAAAGATGACCTCATCAAGCAGAAAAATTAGTTTTTAAATATCTAAATGTGAAATTAAATCCTCTGCTTGGGGTAATGGCTGCCTACAGTCATCTGGGCCAGCGGGTCTGAGAAATTTGTGATGTAGTTAGAACTTCTATATGCAAATTTAGAATTGTTTTAACAAACAGAAGCTTTCATTGATATATTTATTTATTCCCCCCCTTCCCCTGCAAAAGCAGTGGGTGTCTGGAACCTCGTGGCACGTCCCGTCTTGCCGTGATGTCGTAATTTGCGTCTGACTCTGTGCCCGGTGACAGTTGCCTGCTGTCGGTGAGCTGGGACAGAGGGCTGATGAACAACGAACGCTGAGCAAGGGTTCCAGAGTCACACTGGGAAAAGAAACCTCCCAAAAAGGTTGTCCTTAACTGTGGGTGTGTAGATGTGTCGGGGAGGCCGCATGTTCGCTCCCACCAAGACCTGGCGCCGCTGGCACCGGAGGGTGAATATAACTCAGAAGCGTTACGCCATCTGCTCTGCTCTGGCAGCCTCTGCTCTGCCAGCACTCGTCATGTCCAAAGGTGGGAATTCACAGAATCACAGAATCTTCTAGGTTGGAAGGGACCTTAAAGATCATCTTGGCCAACCGTCAACCTCACTGACAAAAATAGACACCCACACAACAAACAAGGAGCATCATCACTAACCCAGACCTCCCAGCACTACATCAACCCGTCTTTTGAACACCTCCAGGGATGGGGCCTCAACCACCTCCCTGGGCAGCCCATTCCAAGGGCTGAGAACCCTTTCAGTGAAAAAATTTTTCCTAATCTCCAGCCTGAACCTCCCCTGGGGCAACTTGAGGCCCTTTCCTCTTGTCATGTCGCCTGTGACTTGAGAAAAGAGACCGACCCCCATCTCTCTACCCCCTCCTTTCAGGGAGTTGTAGAGAGCAATAAGGTCTCCCCTCAGCCTCCTCTTCTCCAGGCTGAATAACCCCAGCTCCCTCAGCCTCTCCTCATAAGACTTATTCTCCAGACCCCTCACCAGCTTTGTCGCCCTTCTCTGGACTTCCTTCCAGAGGAATTCTGCCTCTGGAAAGCTTTGCCCTGAGCAGTATCAGGACCTGTGTGATGAGCCCATCCACAGGAAACATCTTGAGTAAATGCTCTTTAAAAAGAGTTGAAGAATTTCAGTTTGTTTTCTGTTCGTGGAAGCCAACGATTTGCTTAATATTTATTTGGGTAGAGAAAGCACCGTCTGAGGCAGACACACACGACTCTGCTGAACCTTCACCACTGTGGTCCCAGTGCCTGAATATTAGATCACAGATTTAATTTCTGCTCTTTCTGGCATTGTATCATTTCTGAACACACACAGCAATGACCTTGAGAAATGAGCACAGCCAGGGGCAGCGAATAACTCGGTGTCTTTGTAAAATCCTCTCTAGGTCACCGCATCGAGGAGATTCCAGAACTTCCTCTGGTTGTTGAGGACAAAGTTGAGAGTTACAAGAAAACCAAGGAAGCTGTTCTCCTCCTTAAGAAGCTGAAAGCTTGGAATGACATCAAAAAGGTGAGTTGCTGTGGGATGTGTTCTGCTGCTACAGTAGGAATTCCAAATAGTTCTGCTGTGATCTGGCGCTGATAGAAATCCCTTGGTAATAAAACTACAAGAAACTGTAAAAAAAGAGTTTAAGCAGAGTAAATTTCTTACTCTGCTGCTTTACTCTGTTTAGTTGTCTCCATTTCAGTGTTGATTAACGTTGGGTTTTTTGACTCTTAAGAATGATGAGCTTCTCACTGGTCCGTGTTGCAGATGAGCAGTGGTGATGGTGAAGTTCTGACTCAAGACACAAGAGAACTGTTTACGAGTGGGATTTGGACTATTTTGAATATTCACAAAGTTTGATTATTTATTTATTTTTTTAAAAAAAATCTAGGTTTATGCCTCCCAGCGTATGCGGGCCGGAAAAGGTAAAATGAGGAATCGCCGTCGCATCCAGCGCAGGGGACCTTGCATCATCTACAATGAGGACAACGGTATCATCAGAGCTTTCCGGAATATCCCAGGTAACCTGGACTTGGGGGACAGTTACCCTTCTGTTGGGAGAAGGAACTGCCTGGAATGATGAGATTCCACTTCATTGGTCCGTGTTTCTGAAACCCATGATTTTGTGGAAGTTCTGACCCGCTGGCGCAGCCGATAGGCTCCGTCTGACAACATTGTGGTGATTTCGAGGATGTTTGTGACAAATGTTGTAGTTTGGTAACCTTTTGTTGGGAGAAGGAACTGCCTGGAATGATGAGATTCCACTTCATTGGTCCGTGTTTCTGAAACCCATGATTTTGTGGAAGTTCTGACCCGCTGGCGCAGCCGATAGGCTCCGTCTGACAACATTGTGGTGATTTCGAGGATGTTTGTGACAAATGTTGTAGTTTGGTAACAACCCTGAACTGCATTTGGAGCAGTTGAAAATAGGGGTGTCAAGTTGTTACTGGAAAAAAGCTATTATTTTTTAAAAATGACTAGATTTTCATACATAGGGCTATGTAACTGTGATGTAAAAGCCAATGAGGCCCTGTCTGTTTATTCCTTGGTGGGAATCCCAGCCGAAAGGGGTGTGTTTGCCTGGTTTTTTTCCTGACAGGAATCACTCTCCTGGATGTGAACAAGCTGAACCTGCTGAGACTGGCTCCCGGGGGCCACGTGGGGCGTTTCTGCATTTGGACAGAAAGCGCTTTCCGCAAACTGGACGATCTCTACGGCACCTGGCGCAAAGCTGCCACCCTCAAGAGTGACTACAAGTAAGTGCAGCCCGAGCAGGTAAAAACCCCCTCCTGCCACGGGTTCTTCCATCTCCAGGTGGCAAACGAACACCCGTGCTTTCCCCTAAATACCTGTTTTTGTGAGCTGGGTAAAACCCCCTCCTGCCATGGGTTCTTCCATCTCCAGGTGGCAAATGAACACCTGTACTTTCCCCTAAATACTTGTTTTTGTTGAATTTGTTGACTTTTTTATCATCTGACCCTTTGTCCCGCAGCCTGCCCATGCACAAGATGACCAATACGGACATTGGAAGGATCATGAGAAGCCAGGAAATCCAGAAGGCGCTGCGTGCTCCCAAGTAATCACTCTCCTCTTAACGAGAAATTTGTAATGAGATGGGGAATGAGTCTCTGCAGTGGGGTGGGGGTGGGGGTGGGGGTTCTTCAGTTCCGGGGTATAAACACCAGGGATTGCGGTTCCCCAACTTGAATTATGAAATGAGATCCTGATCTGTGACCCTTCTTTTCAGGAAAAAGATTCACCGCAGAGTCCTGAAGAAGAACCCACTGAAGAACCTGCGAATCATGATCAAGCTGAACCCTTACGCCAAAACCATGCGCCGCAACACCATCCTGCGCCACGCGCGCAACGTGAGTGGGCAGGGGGGCTGACGGAGGGGAAAGGGGCTTTAGGGCTTCGGTGAGGTGCTGATGATCGTTTGGTCTCTTTCAGCACAAACTGAAGGAGGAGAAGAAGGCAAAGGCCAAGGCCAAGCTGGAGGGCAAGGCCCCAGCCGAGCCCAAGGCAGAGCCCACCAAGGCCACCAAGGCGGAGCCCACCAAGGCCACCAAGGCGGCTGCCAAGGCCCAAGCGTGAAGAGTGGGTGGTGCTTCCTCCCCTCCGGGTCACCAAACCTGCACCCCAGTGCTGCAAATAAACTGGTGGAACAGAGAAATGACCTCACTGGTGTCTGCTCTGCTTTGTCTCGGTGGGGAGGGGGTGTTTCTGAGAGAGTTTTAAAATAGAGACTATTTGGAGGGGAGGGGAAGTGGGAGAGTCGCTGCTGTCTCTCTGTGATGCCCTGGGGCTGGGATTTACCCCCTCCCCACGTCAGGTGCTCCTGTGTGATGCTGGTAGGTGGGTAGGCTGGTTGGTAGGACAAGGGGTGATGGTTTTAACCTGAAAAAGGGGAGATTGAGAGGGGAGAGCAGGAGGAAATTTTTCCCTCTGAGGGTGGTGAGAGCCTGGCCCAGGCTGCCCAGAGAAGCTGTGGCTGCCCCATCCCTGGAGGGGTTCAAGGCCAGGCTGGAGGGGGCTTGGAGCAACCTGGGCTGGTGGGAGGTGTCCCTGCCCAGGGCAGGGGCTTCCAAATCCATCATCTTTAAGGCCCCTTCCAATTCCAATCATTCGATGACGTAAGCGGCGTCCGGGAACGTGCGTGTGACGTCAGGCGGGGAGGGGCGGGTCCTCCCGGCCTGCAGGGGGAGCTGTGGCGGCGGGGCGCGGCGGCGGCGGCGGAGGATGCTGAGCCGCCTGCAGGAGCTGCGCAAGGAGGAGGAGACGCTGCTGCGGGTGAAGGCGGCGCTGCACGACCAGCTCACCCGCCTCAGGGTCAGCGGCGGCGGGGGGACGGCCCGGGG